TTCATTTGGTGTAAGCTTCATGTGTTCAAGTGTTTAGTTAGGGCTTTCTGGGGTGACCTGGCCAGTATCTGTGGATTCCCCTTTGCAACTTTCACACCTCCTAGCTGCCATCTGCCTCACTAAGAGCCCAAGTTTCCACACACTCCTTCCACCTGCCTAGTGGATTTCATGTTATCCCCTCCCCTCCAATTCTCCAGCAACCCAGGGTTTTCACCTCTATGGATGGGCACAAACCAGGAAAACGTGGTTTGGTTCGTGGCATGCTGGGTTTGCAAAACACAAACCATCAGGAACTTTTAGGAGCTAGGTTGGCTCAGCTTGTGATGTGGTTGAGTGCCTCCCTGGTGTTCTAGAGACACAAAACTCACAGGGAATCATCAGCTGACTCTCTTCTACCTGCCCTCCAAGTTTGATGAGGAGTAGACTTAGGGTGTCCAAGTTATGCCCCCCGCCAAAGAAGGTGCCCCCAGGAAAGTGATTTCTGGGGAAATGACAGGTGCAGGTTCAGGAGATTCAGGGATATACAGAAAGGACCCTGTGCAAGCTAGAGGCATCAAACTCACAGAAGACCTCCCTCAGTACTTCTTTACATGTTCTCTAAGTTATGTGCAGATTGGACTTGGGGATCTGAGTTATGGCCCTACAAAGAAGATGTCTTCACAGAAGGGCTTTCTGGGTAAATGACAGGCACAAGTACAGGAGATTCAGGACTGTAGAGAATGGACCCTGTGCAAGCTAGATGCATCAAACTCGCAGGGGACCTCCCCCTAATCCTTCTCTATATACCTTCTAAATTATGTGCAGATTGAATTTAGGGGGTCAAATTATGACACCCCCCCAAAGAAGGTGCCCACAGGAAAGTACTTTTTGGGGAGATATCAGAGAGAAGGCTCACTACTGGTTCATAATCAGAGCAGACAGATGGGGTGGCTCAGAGCCCTGAATTCATCTGACACTCAAACCCCAGCAGTGGAGAGGAGTTCACAATCAGAGCAGAAAGACAGGGTGGCTTAGAGCCCTGAGTCCACTTAACGCCCAAACCCCAGCAGTGGAGAGGAGTTCACAGTCAGGAGACTATAAAATGTCGGTCCTCAGCCAAGGCACCCAGTAGCTAAGCCACTGTGCTCGACTTGAGCAGAGAGATGGGGTGGCTCAGAAACCTGAGTCCACCTAGCACCCAAACCCCAGTAGGGGAGAGGAGTTCACAATCAAAATGTGGGTCCTCAGCTGAGGCACCCAGTAGCTAAGCCCCACTGCTCGGGATCAGCAGAGAAATGAGGCGGTTCAGGGCCCTGAGTCCACCTAAAACCGAACCCCCAGCAGGGGAGAGAAGTTCATAATCAGAAATCAGAAAATACCAGTTAGTGCAAGAGGGTGATGCTAGCCAGTGCAGTGTAGTGGTTAGACTGGGATTTGAGACACAGGGAAGCTTGCTAGGTGCCCTTGAGCCAGTCACATGCTCTCAGCCTAATCTACCTCACAAGGTTGTTGTGAGGATAAAATGGAGGAGATGAGCAGAACTTAAGCCACTTTGAGTCCCTGTTGGGGAGATAGTTGGAGTATCAAATGAAGCAGATCAATAAATAAATTCCATCTGTTTTGCTATATGAAAAGTGCTAGCAAACAACAAAGTAGGTGATGATAACTCACAAAAATTATTGTCTGTAAGTGCCCTAATTATGCTTCATTACTCAACGACTCTTAGTAAAGCCTTAAAAACACAATTGCTCCAATTGGACTGGCAAATGTGGTCTATCTTCAACAGAAGACAGATGTTTGAAATAAACTTGCAATTCGTAGAGTATGATGACATCTTTAAATAGTTGATGGTGGGATTTAGTCCAGCTCTTTTTTCTTTTTGCTTACTAGTTGCTCTTTGGATCTGCCTTTTGGTAGCTTCTGAGCCATGGATGGCTTTGCTGACATGCTGGCAAGGCAGTCCAAGTTTCTGTCTTTTATCCTAGTCAGTCACAGCTCCTGGTGGGGCCCTGAGCCAAAGCCACAGGCTCGCTTCAACACACAGTTCTGGGCAACCATGATGTTCTCGCTGCCAAATCCCAAACCATCTAGTATAACATCTTCATTGTTTGATTATATAAGGCCAGCATGTGGGTAGAGGTCGCGGTTTTATTGTCCACCCTTCCAAGTGTATGAGTCATCTACCATTTTTTTTCAAACCAAGCATGAAAAAGATAAAACCCTGAGCTGTATCCCTGTATTTTGACAGATGTGTGCAATAACTTTGTCTGCTGCCCAAATCCAGAATTCTCTGAATTCCTGAGTCTTGCCCACTTCTACCCATATGGATTTTTCCTGCATGAACACATGCATGGAGTATTCTCCAGGCTCTGGAAGAAATACATAAAGGATCTAGAAAGCTCACCTTATGGGATTGAATTCTGATGTATTGACATGGGTTGATGAAGACACTGACTTGCATCAGTGCGGTAAACCTTAATCTGGGTTTGTGGGGAAAGCACCAATCCAGAAATAATCTGAACAGCATGGATTATTTCTGGTTAAAGGTGGGATATCAAGTAGAATAATCCTGTTCATAGACTAAATCTGTGAGAGGGATGTTATCTCTACTTATGTCCATAGTAGTTTAAAACAACAAAGAGGTCTGGAATCATATATTTGATTGAGTAATTAGTATAATCTGAAAGAAAGGGGTTATTTCTTACAAGTAACCCCCAAAGAGAACACTTTAAAGAACACCCAGTGACGTTTAAGCAGTCAGAATGACCATCATGATTAGAACCCAGTCTCCCTGTGGCTTGTGGCTAAGGCTGTCAGTTGCTTTCCTTTTGGACCCTGTGCCATGGTAGTCTCCGTACTGAGGAAGGCCTCTGAAGTCCGGCTGCCTGATTGCAAAGTGGGTGATGTCATGGGGTTATTCAGCCATTTGCTGTGGATTGACTGATTAATGTCACTGAAGGGGGCATTGTCAGCATGCAGTGTCATAACTGGTGGGTGGCTATGGACTACCCAGGAATGCTATAGGAGCGTCAGTTGGTTGTGCCATATTAGTGGTTGTTTCTTCTGCCATTGCTATGATGACAGTGTTCCTGTTGCATTGCGACTCTCTTTCCCAGGCATACTAGGGCTAGAAGATCATCTTATAAATTTTTATTCAAATATATTTCAAAACTGCAGTGTAATCTTTTGCCATTCTATAGTAGGAAACAGCAGCCAAAAAGTTCCAAATGTAATATCCTGCGTGGAAGCTGGCTAGTTTAGAATGTTCATTTCCATTCTGATGGAACAGCAATATCTCTTCTCATAGCCTTCCTAGCATTTTTGTTCTTCCTAGATAGAGAATAAATATCCTAATTTTAATCTCTCTCTTCAGTTATCTGATTTTGCCAGTGTGCCTTGGCTGTTTGGTGTAGTGGTTACGTGCCAGTTTGGTATAGCGGTGAAGTGCGTGGACTCTAATCTGGGAGAACCGGGGTTTGATTCCCTACTTCTCCACTTGCACCTGGCTGGATGACCTTGGGCAAGCCGTAGTTCTGGTAAGAGCTGTTCTTGAAAAAGAGCAGTTTCTGTCAGAGCTCTCTCAGCCCCACCAACCTCACAGGGTGTCCGTTGTGGGGAGGGGAAGGGAAAGGAGTTTGTAAACTGCTCTGAGACACCTTTGGGTAGTGAAGGGTGGGGTATAAATCCAATCTCTTCTTCTTCTTCTCATATAGAAGCTTCAAATAACACTGTATGAAGTTCATGTAATTCCTTGTATGGACCAATTCCCAATGTCTTACAGTGCAAGCATTGGAATCAGAGTTTCACCATTCTTAGACCATTGGCTAACTCTGTTTAGGATTGCACATTTAAACTAGAGCTTGTTCTGCAGCCATGATCAGATGACCATGTTTATTTCTCCAGACCAAGCCACTGCTAAGGCATGAGAATAACCCAGACCAGTTTTTTTGGTTAGTTGGCAACTCCACAGATCACACATACATGGCACTTTCACACACTCTGAATAATGCATTTTCAATTCACTTTGAATGTACTTTGGAGATGGTTTGCAAGTGGATCTTGCCATTTCACACAGTAAAATTCCGGTGTAAAGTGCATTGCAAGTGAATCGGAAGTGCACTATTCAGCATGTGTGAAAGTACTGTCTAACTGCATTTTCAGCAGTTGGTTTGAGGCAGTTTTATAGCAGCTTGTGATATTGTAAGTCTGCACCTCTTGTGCTCTTATCCACATCTGGAGGCAAGAAACCTCAGAACACCAGCCCTGGTAGGGGAGGGCGGGATAAAAATATAAATAATAAATAAATAAACATCAGGGGAAGGCTCTGGAGTCTATAGCCTGTTCCTTGGCCTTCTGAGGTAAATGGTTGGGGTAAATGGTGAAACAGGATGCTGGACTAGATGGGCCACAGGGGTCTCCATATTCAGTCACTTTGCTATACCATCTGAAGGAGTCAGAACTAGGTACCAAAATAAGCTGAAAAAACTTAGTTGAATTTTTCTGTTCCTCCTGCAGATAGCTTCATAAATAAATAGTACCTGACTGAGCACAGAAGTGTCCTGTTTGCTATGCTGCTGTACCACCATAATACTAATCTTTGGGCATTATTCATAAATAATGTCCATACATATGCATTTGTTATAACTAGAAGAAGAAGAGAGAAGAGATTGAATTTATACCCCGCTCTTCTACTACCCAAAGGTGTCTCAGAGCGGCTTACAAACTCCTTTCCCTTCCCCTCCCCTCCCCACAACAGACACCCTGTGAGGTAGGTGGGGCTGAGAGAGCTCTGACAGAAACTGCTCTTTTTCAAGAACAGCTCTTATCAGAACTACGGCTTGCCCAAGGTCATCCAGCCAGGTGCAAGTGGAGGAGTGGGGAATCAAACCCGGTTCTCCCAGATTAGAGTCCGCGCACGTAACCACTCCACAAAACTACTTAGAACACTTGGGATAAAACACTGAGCATTTCTTGTTTATGGCTGATACCTTGTCTTTTTTCCCTTAAATTAATCATTATAGATCTATGCCTACATCTTTGAAAACATCAAATCCATTCAGTTGGAAGCTTTGCTGCTGTCTGTGCTGAGCATTGTGCTGCTTGTCCTTGTTAAAGAGCTGAATGAAAAATTTAAAGGAAAAATTAAAGTGGTTCTTCCCATTGATTTAGTTTTGGTGAGTATAAAATTATCCATCGCTTTTTATTGGTTAGTCTGCTGTAGCAGGGGGTGCCTGATTCCACTGCATGCGTACATTTCTCTCCTGCACAGTGAAAGTGGCAGAGTTAGGTGTCAGAGCAAGACTTCCCGCAGGGCTCTTTTTGTAGCAGGAACTCCTTTGCCTATTAGGCCACACCCCCTAATGTAGCCAATCCTCCAAGAGCTTACAGAGCTCTTCTTACAGGAGCTACTGCAAGCTCTTGGAGGATTGGCTACATTAGGGGTGTGTCGCTTGATATGCAAATGAGTACCTGCTACAAAAAGAGCCCTGCCGGGCGGCGGCGACATTATTACCTATGAGCCCCCCTTCCAAGATGTTAACTTGTTGTTGTTTCCCGATTCACAGATAATTGCTACCTCTGTTGCGTGCTACTATGCTGATATGGACTTCAACTATGGCCTGGAAGTTGTGGGACATATTCCAGAAGGGTAATGTGTTCTTTATATGCTTGTATGTATATTTATTTTTTAATTTACATTATTTATAGTCCACCTTTCTTACTCTCAAAGCAGATTACACCGTTTATGTCAAATACGATCAACAGGATGGGGCATCCAATAAACAGGGCAATAGGGTTTGGACAACAGAAATCTGAAAACAAGCAAAAAGCTGAAACAGAACTGAAACAAAGCCTAATCATTTAAACATGACACATTAAACAGTGCAGAAATTACTTAGTATGAGCACACTTACTGCAAGAGACAGGACACAGTAGTAAAGTGTGTAGTGCCTGACCCTTTACCAAAGCATCTTTCTGAACAATTTCAGTACAGGACAGCCCTATAGGTATCCTCAGTACAGTTCACATTTTTTTTGTATTTGAATACTGCCCTCAGTCTGGGCATCAGAATGCTCAAAAACTTTTTCTAGAATTAAATAGAATGTTTTGCACTGAAATAATGAAGATGACAAGAACCACTCAGGAAGAGAAAAAACAACAATCCAAAACACAGCTGAGTTGATTGAAAAAGCCGTTTCCTTGACCTATACTTTTAAATATTTTTTTTGTAGAATGAGAATTAAGAATCACACAGCACCTGAAATTAGCAAAAGACCAGAACTAGTATCTTTCTAAATAGCTGTAGCTGTAGCTGTGCATGTATTCTACACTTTTTCAAGGTCATCCTTAAAAGGCCCTTTATGCTCTTGTTGTACAGTGTTTAAATGCAAACTACTGAGCTCTTGAATCATCATGAAGAGCATAAATAACAATGCTATTTATATAACACTATTTTAAAAATTCCCTCAGTATTTGTCACAAAAACATATAAAAGAAAGTAGGCCAACAGGCCCTTTTAAAGACTTTGAGAGACCCAAGGTTGCATGTTAATTGTATTGGAGATATCTAGTTGCACAATCAAGAAAATGTGCAATCACACACAGCAAACACTTTAGGTAAGTGTACTGCAAAAAGTTAAACCTTAGTTTTATTGAGGTAGATTCACATCCCAGTTTGGTGTAGTGGTTAAGTGCGTGGACTCTAATCTGGGAGAACTGGGTTTGATTCCCCACTCCTCCACTTGCACCTGGCTGGATGACCTTGGGCAAGCCATAGTTCTGATAAGAGCTGTTCTTGAGAAAAAGAGCAGTTTCTGTCAAGAGCTCTCTCAGCCCCACCTACCTCACAGGGTGTCTGTTGTGGGGAGGGGAAGGGAAAGGAGTTTGTAAGCCGTTCTGAGACTCCTTTGGGTAGTGAAAGGTGGGGTATAAATCCAATCTCTTCTTCTTCTTCTGGTAGTAGTCTAAGCTAAAGAATACTTTCCTCTATCCCAAGTGGCTAACTGATCCAGCTTCAGGGTTATGAATGTATGTGTCCTTGGACATTTCCCTGACATGGTCTCACAGGAGAGTCCCACAAAGACATCTTGCCTGTTGCAAGACCACAGTGAGAAAAAGAGAATACAAAAGGCACAGGAAGAGAAGTAGGAGACAAAGAGAAGTACCCAGTAGACAAGGAGAGGCATCCTATTCAGTTGGAAGATAAGTCATACCCATAAACTGTTTCTAGTGCACATAAACATAAACTGGCCCAGTGTTCAGGCATGTCAAGTCACCTTTACTTCAACAGACTGGTGGCCCTTCTTCCTTCTTGTTTGACCATGTTGCTGTTCCTCAGTTGGAAAAAAATGTAGAAAATTAGGAAATCTTAAAAATGAAAACAAACATAATGCATATATTTCGCATCCACATTTAATACAATAGTATGTTAAGATTTTATGTCTTGGAAACACATGCAATTGGATTATCTTGTAAAAACCAGCCTCAACAAATAAGACGTTCCTATTTTTATTGGGTTTGGACCTTTCTGGCCGATGAACTTATACAATACACGTTTGCAAACTTGTGCCAACTCTGGCCTGGAAATTCCTTGAACTTTGGGGGTGGAGCCTAGGGAAGTTAGAGTTTGGAGGGGGGGAGGAGTTGTAATTCCTGGAGAATTCCAAGTCACACTGGGAAACTGGCAACCCTACATCTTTGTCATATCCAGTCTGTAAGTGTGAACTCAGTTTGTGGGTTCTATGGGGTGGAACTTGGAATGACTCTTGCAATAACTCAAAGAGAATGAGGGTTGCCAGCTCTGGGTTGGGAAATATCTGGAGACTTTAGGGGTGGAGGCTGGGGAGGGTGGGATTTGGGGAGGGGAGGGACCTCAGCAGGGTATAATGCCATAGAGTCCACCCTTCAAAGTAGCCATTTTCTCCAGGGTAGTTGACCTCTGTCATCTGGAGATCAATTGCAATAGTGGGAGATCTCCAGGTTCCACCCGGAGGTTGGCAACCCTAAAGAGAATAAACATTTTACTCTTCACTTAACATTATACCATGTAACAAAAACATAAATCTTAGTAACACAACAGAACAGTGATTTTTAAAAGCCCAAACAATTGATGTTTCATTCACCGCTTGCCATCCTAAAGTCCATCTTTCCCCTCTTGTTGGTGGCCCAAAAAGTCCCCAACTGAACCCACCATGCACTGGCTTCCAAGATGAGGCTCCCAAATGAACTCCCCGTTAGAGAACACAGCCCTAAAGCAATAATTCTAAACTTTCAATTTAGGACAAAAGTCTCCCTCCCTTACCAGTTTCCACAGGGGTCGTTTCGTAGAAAAAGAGCTAGGGGAACTCATTAGCATAACTCATTAGCATATGCCACACCCCCTGACATCACCGGAAGTGTGTCATAAGGCCACACCCCCTGACATCACTGGAAGTGTGTCATAAGGCAACACACCCCGCCCCCAAAGGTCCCGGCCGCCGCTGCCGGCCTTGCAGCTCCACTGCCGAGCCCCATGAGGGGTCCGGTGGTGGACCTGCAAGGCCGGGGGGAGTGCAAGGAAGCCCCGCGAAGGCCATCCCTGGCCCCAGGCTGGCAGGGGTGGGGAGAGGCAGGGAGGAAGCAACTTACCCTCCCTCTTCTCCTGCCTCCTCCTGGCTGAATGAGGGCCGGAAGCAGGGCGGCCGGAAGCAGGGGCGGGGCTTCGTCATGTGCCCCACCCCCATACCTTACCCAGGGGAACTGTGATCCCCCGCGATCCCCCCTGAAATGACCTTTGAGTTTCCATACATAAATCACAGTTACCTTAAACAAGGTGTTGAGAGCCTATAATTAAGGGTCAGGCTCCCCAGCAGGGTAGTCTTGCTTCCCTCCTCTGCTTTCCACACAGTCTCCACCTTTCTGCATCGAGAGGCTCCACCCCTTCCTGGCTCATTCCATTACTAGACAGGGGTTACGTAAGCTTTGGATGTTCCCCTAAAAATGATGCGCACAAAGAGGCCGTATTAAATTCTACACATGGGATAAGCAGCACATTTTCAGCATTTTCCCATTTCAATATCTATGTTTTTCCCCTCTGGTTTTCATGTTTTAGGGAGTGCAGCTTTGTCTCTGCTGGCTCACTCGCCTTCCAGTTCTAATGCAAACTGTTCACCGTTACAAAGGTTTGTTTTGTACTTACTTTTACAGTATACCACCACCAAGGCCTCCACCTATGAATATCCTCCCTGAAGTAGTTACAGAAGCATTTGGAGTGGCTTTAGTTGGCTATGTAGCATCACTAGCCCTGGCACAGGGCTCTGCTAAGAAGTTCAACTACTCTGTGGATGACAACCAGGTAAAAATTCACATCTCCAAGTAGTGTGTGTGTGTGTGTGGGGGGGGCTAGGGTTGCCAGCTCTGGGTTGGGAACTACCTGGAGGTTTGGGAAGTGGAGCCTGAGAAGGGCGGGGTTTGGGGAGAGGAGGGACTTCAGTGGGGTCTAATACCATAGAGTCCACCTCCTAAAGTGGTCATTTTCTCCAGGTGAACTTTCTTGAGGTGAACTTTCTCCAGGTGAACTGATCTTCATGTGAACTGATCATAATGCCCCTGTATAAATCAGTGGTGCAACCTCATTTGGAGTACTGAACATAAGAACATAAGAGAAGCCAATGCTGGATCAGGCCAGTGGCCCATCTAGTCCAACACTCTGTCACACAGTGGCCAAAAATACCAGGTGCCATCAGGAGGTCCACCAGTGGGGCCAGGACACTAGAAGCCCTCCCACTGTTGCCCCCCCCCAAGCACCAAGAATACAGTACACCGCTTGCCCCAGACCGAGAGTTCCTATCTATACCTTGTGGCTAATAGCCACTGATGGACTTCTGCTCTACTGTGTACAGTTCTGGGCACCACACCTCAAAAAGGATATTATAGCATTGGAAAAAGTGCTGGAAAGGGCAACTAGAATGATAAAAGGGTTGG